ACAGGCGTGAGCCACTGCGCCTAGCTTATCCTCTCATTTCTATTGGCCCTGAGCAAGTTTGAGATCTGAACTAAACTTCTTTATGTAATGTTTGTTTTGTTTTGTTTTTTCCTCTGATTGTAAAAGTCCATTATAGAAAATTTAGAAAATGCAGGTGTGTATAAAGAAGCCACTCAAATGAACCAAATTTCTTAGTGTTTGGTCTGGACTCAGATTCATAGCTCATTTGGCTCTTAATAAAATTCAGAGTTGTTTTTGTGACGGACTACAAGGATAACCTTTTGATTCTAGTGTAATTTAAGATATTTTACCAGTGGGGCACGGTGGCCTACGCCTGTAGTCCCAGCACTTTGGGAGGCCATGTAGTCCCAGCACTTTGGGAGGCCAAGGCAGGCAGATCACTTGAGGTCAGGAGTTCGAGACCAGCCTAACCAACATGGGGAAACCCCATTTCTACTAAAAATACAAAATTAGCTGGGTGTGGCGGTGCATGCCTGTAATCCCAGCTACTCAGGAGGCTGAGACAGGAAAATCACTTGAACCTGGGAGGCGGAGGTTGCAGTGAGCCGAGATGGCGCCACTGCACTCCAGCCTGGGCAACAAGAAAGAAACTCCATCTAAAAAAAAAAAAAAAAAAGATATTTTAAAGAAGTCAAGTTAGAAAAGAATTTTTTTATCTGCTCCTAATTGTTATGGGTGAGTATCTAGAGAAATGTTGAATGGAGAAAAAGTAAGCCTATGACATTCTTCAGTGCTTTCTATTGTATAGCAAACTGGATTCTTGCCTTCTCTGAGCTTTCAAAATGATCTGGAATCTTGACCTTTCAAAGCTATGGTTTAAAAAGACAACTAGAAATGTGATTTTCTGCTCTTCATTGTTTTCCCATATTTCTTCCTATTTATAAAGGATTAAAATGTTATACCTAAAAAAAGAAAATTGCAAAAATCAGCTTATATCTATATCATTTTTGGATATTTGTAGTATTTAATATTTGTATCTTATCTGAATATGATTCAAAGAACAAATTACTTCCACATATATTTCTTTCTTCCTATAATGGCTATCAGACACTTTAAATCTATTTAAAAGTTATTTTCATGTATTGGCTGCATATGAACATGTAAAGGAAAAAGATCATACCATTTAATTTTCCATGTTCTTAAATCAACCATATTGAATTGGCATTGTGTGTTCAGAATGTCCCCAATCATATGTGAAAAAAAAAAAAATAGGTAGACATTAACCTAATTTTCTTCTTTCTCTTTCACTTGGTTTCAAAGTCAAGTTAGAGATGAGTTGATTTCATTTTACACAGCACTACTTCCCATGTTATCTGTGAGCCAACATTTCGTTGTTTTTTTTTTTTTTTTTGAGACAGAGTCTCGCTCTGTTGCCCAGGCTGGAGTGCAGTGGCCGGATTTCAGCTCACTGCAAGCTCCGCCTCCCGGGTTCACGCCATTCTCCTGCCTCAGCCTCCCGAGTAGCTGGGAATACAGGCGCCCGCTTAGCCAGGATGGTCTTGATCTCCTGACCTCGTGATCCGCCCGTCTCGGCCTCCCAAAGTGCTGGGATTACAGGCTTGAGCCACCACGCCTGGCCGTGAGCCAACATTTCAGAAAGCAATTAGTATTCTCAAATTTACAATCCACAATTTGAGGGGCATTAATTGCTCAGGTAATTATTTGTTTATGTAATATTTATTTACTTGCTTATCACCTCATCTGAGAACCTCAGTGTGATTCATAAACATTAACTTTTTGTAATTATGTTTTATTGCAAGAAAATAAGATATATAGTTATTAGTATATTTTAAATCATTATTAGCTTTGCAGTTGACCAAGAAAGCTGGCATTTAGATTGGTGGTTATAACTTAAATCTAACTTAAATCGTTCTTCTTTTTGGTGCCAGTGATGTGCTATCATATACTGAAAGAATTCTGAATGATATTTCAGCTTTGCAAAGTGATAGCAGAAGAACCTGATGCAAGTTTATTCTCGTCTTCTTTAAGATTTCCAGTACTTTATCTCTAACATGGTAGGAATGTCTTGAATTAAGCATGTAGAATTTTATTTTTAGGGTCCTCCAAATAGCTCATTCTCTCACGTCCTAGCATGACCTTCAATAACCAAACAAGTAAAAAGTCTAACAGTTACAAATATAGTGTTTACCAATATAAAAAAAAAAATAAACATTCTTATGATACCTAGTCTGTCTAGGCTTGTGACCTTTTCCACTGAACTCTGAACACATCTGGCTTTTTTCTGCCAAACCTCAGATCTCTGACCTGTGTTGTTTGTGGTCATCACCTTTGTTGTTGTTGCTGTTTTTAAGTTAATTCTACTAGGGTTGTGGAGCTCCAGGCTGTGAACTATGATTTGTAATCTCTTGTGTTTATGACATTCTACTTCTTTCCAACATGATTTGTGGCTGACTTTATTTTTAACATTTGGACACAATGCTTTCATATTTCAAAGCTGACCTTTGATCTTTGTGTGTTCTATTTTGTAAATCGTAGGTGATGGATCTGGGGAGCCACAGGTGAGAGGGGCTAAAAAAAGTCCCAGAAATGTGGTGGTTGCTTGTTGGCTGCCATGATTCAACAGCAGGGTCATGAAAGCTGATGCAGGGAGTTGCTCAGACCAGGGAAGAGTTTGGACGGTAAATATGAGTCACTGCCTGATCCAGCAAACTCCCGCGGTGCCTCTGAGTCTAGGATCAGGGTCATCTTTGACTTGAGAGTGAATAACAATGTCTGCCTTCCCAAAGGAATAAAGATGGAAAGTTCTGATATCCACTTTTAATCATATATTTTTCTAGCAATATGCTAATTTAACACATCAGCACCTGTATGTCTCTCAACATGTCAATAATTTTAGTCATGTTAACATGCTGATGACTGTGCCATTTTAGTCCTTTGAGTTTGCAGACTTATAAAACAGATGTGTTCCTGTGAGGACATACTTAGATGGCTTTCTCAGAGTTTCCAACTTGCCTACATTTAAATTAATATTAAAATAAGTAATTATATTATAAAATTATAGTTTCCCAAAAGATTTTTGAGTCCAGATTCCTATTGTCCTAAAAGGTGGCAATTATTTGTCTTCGGTAGACTATTAACTTCATAATTTTCATTAAGATTAACTCTATTAATTCCTTGGTGGTCCATCCCTATATTGAGTAACCCATTTTCTGGGATACCTTCCTAAAAAGCAATGGAGCTTCTTACTGAAGCAATGTAAGACTGGTATTATTATTCTTCAACAATCCTCAATGGAAACAGAAAAGTGACCATTTTCCTTCCTTTGCTCCTTCCGTCATTTCCTCCTTCATTCCTTTCTTCCTAATTATTTTATTTTTATTTATTCACTAGAGACAGGGTCTTGCTCTGTTGCCCAGGTTGAAGTGCAGTGGCACTATCATGGTTCACCATAGCCTTGACCTCCTGGGCTCAGGTAGCTGAGATCACAGGTGTGCACCACCACATCTGGCTGTTTTTGTTTGTTTGTTTGTTTGTTTTGTAAAGACAGAGTCTATCTATGTCGCCCAGGCTGATCTCGAACTCCTAAACTCAAGCAATCCTCCTACCTCAACCCAAAGCACTGGGCTTACAGGCCTGAGCCATGTGTTCAACCCCTCTTTCTCCCTAATTTACATTCTAGTTAAGGGGAGGTACATGAATCCTGAACACAAGCTATGTGGCTAACAAATCAATATTCAACTAACAAGGCTTAGAACTTTATCTTTACGTGGTTGGAGATTCACCCAAACTCTATAAAATGAAGTGCCACGGAAGAATATCTCATGGAAAAAGCCCAGGCTTTCGATTTTTTTTTTTTTTTTTTTTTTTTGATGGAGTCTCACCCTGTCCCTTAGGCTGGAGTGCAGTGGCACAATCTCGGCTCACTGCAGCCTCCCTCTCCTGGGTTCAAGCGATTCTCCTGCCTCAGCTTCCCAAGTAGCTGGGATTACAGGCATGCGCCGTGACACCTGGCTAATTTTTGTATTTTTAGTAGAGATGGGGTTTCCCCATGTTGACCAGGCTGGTCTCAGGTGATCCATTTGCCTTGGCCTCCCAAAGTGCAGGAATTACACCATGCTCAGCTTGGATTTAAATGCATTTTTATTACAGTATGGCTCTTCCATTTTACCTGCTGTGATCTTGGACAAGTTAACCTGATTCAACATGTGTAGAAGAAAGAAAACAATAGTTAACTAATGGAATGGTGATGAAGATTAAATTAGATAAGAAATGCAAGTAATGTCCCTAAAATAGTGACTTTCACCTGGTATATGCTCTCTACATAAACCTAAAAATAATTTTAGGTTTGGTTAAACCTAAAATAATTTTAGGTATATGTAGAGAGCATATACCAGGTTAAAGTTAATTTCTCAAATATTTGAACAATTCCTATTAATTGTAATTCCTGCACCTTGGGAGGCCAAGGCAGATGGATCACTTGAGACCAGCCTGGCCAACATGGGGAAACTCCATCTCTACTGAAAATACAAAAATTAGCCAGGCGTCATGGCACATGCCTGTAATCCCAACTACTTGGTTTAACCAAACCTAAAATTATTTTTACATTCTAGTTAAGGGGAGGTACATGAATCTAAAACATAAACCTAAAATTATTTTTAGGATGATGAATTATTTTTAGGATGATGAAGAGACATCAAGAAATTTTGCCTTTGCTGAGGTTGGCAACAGCTGATAATGAGATTCCAAAGGGGAATATGGTAAGCAGGGCGAATTAGGAGATTGAACTGCAAAAGATCCAGAGAGACAAGATGAAGTTACATGAAGATAGCATCTAAACAATGATGAAAGATGAAATTCAGGCAAGGTGTTCTGATGTATTGGCAACATGCAAGATGCTGCTGGACAAACTCCTGGGAATCACTAAACCTTAGAGGTAATCATGGAGTGAAAAATCCATTCAGGAGATTGCCTAAGAAGATAAATGCAAAAGAGGCACTAAAAATATGTGATTAGGCCCTGCTCTGCCGCCTGCCACCGCTGCCCGAGCCCGAGTGGTTCACTGCACCGTGAAGACAGATTCCAGACGCCAGGAACTCACGCCTCCAATCCCAGACACTATGTCCAGCAAAGGCTCCGTGGTTCTGGCCTACAGTGGCGGCCTGGACACCTCGTGCATCCTCGTATGGCTGAAGGAACAAGGCTACGACGTCATTGCCTATCTGGCCAACATTGGCCAGAAGGAAGACTTCGAGGAAGCCAGGAAGAAGGCACTGAAGCTTGGGGCCAAAAAGGTGTTCATTGAGGATGTCAGCAGGGAGTTTGTGGAGGAGTTCATCTGGCCGGCCATCCAGTCCAGCGCACTGTATGAGGACCGCTACCTCCTGGGCACCTCTCTCGCCAGGCCTTGCATTGCCCGCAAACAAGTGGAAATCGCCCAGCAGGAGGGGGCCAAGTATGTGTCCCGTGGCGCCACGGGAAAGGGGAATGATCAGGTCCAGTTTGAGCTCACCTGCTACTTGCTGGCCCCCCAGATAAAGGTCATTGCTCCCTGGAGGATGCCCGAATTCTACAACCGGTTCAAGGGCCGCAATGACCTGATGGAATACGCAAAGCAACACGGGATTCCCATCCCGGTCACCCCCAAGAGCCCATGGAGTATGGACGAGAACCTCATGCACATCAGCCAGGAGGCTGGAATCCTGGAGAACCCCAAGAACCAAGCGCCTCCCGGTCTCTACACGAAGACCCAGGACCCGGCCAAAGCCCCCAACACCCCTGACATTCTCGAGATCGAGTTCAAAAAAGGGGTCCCCGTGAAGGTGACCAACGTCAAGGATGGCACCACTCACCAGACCTCCTTGGAGCTCTTCATGTACCTGAACGAAGTCGCGGGCAAGCATGGTGTGGGCCGTATTGACATCGTGGAGAACCGCTTCATTGGAATGAAGTCCCGAGGTATCTACGAGACCCCAGCAGGCGCCATCCTTTACCACGCTCATTTAGATGAGGCCTTCACCATGGACGGAGAAGTGCGCAAAATCAAACAAGGCCTGGGCTTGAAATTTGCTGAGCTGGTGTATACCGGTTTCTGGCACAGCCCTCAGTGTGAATTTGTCCGCCACTGCATTGCCAAGTCCCAGGAGCAAGTGGAAGGGAAAGTGCAGGTGTCCGTCCTCAAGGGCCAGGTGTACATCCTCAGCCGGGAGTCCGCACTGTCTCTCTACAACGAGGAGCTGGTGAGCATGAACGTGCAGGGTGATTATGAGCCGATTGATGCCACCGGGTTCATCAACATCAATTCCCTCAGGCTGAAGGAATATCATCGTCTCCAGAGCAAGGTCACTGCCAAATAGACCCCTGTACAATGTGGAGCTGGGGCCTCCTCAATTTGCAGATCCCCCAAGTACAGGCACTAATTGTTGTGATAATTTGTAATTGTGACTTGCTCTCCCTGGCTGGCAGCGTAGTGGGGCTGCCAGGCCCCAGCTTTGTTCCCTGGTCCCCCTGAAGCCTGCAGACGTTGTGTTGTCACCGAAGGGAAGGGTGGGGGGCAGCTGCGGTGGGGAACTATAAAATGACAATTAAAAGATTAAAAAAAAAATGTGATTAATGCTCTCAAAGGCAATGGGCAGGGGGGATCAGGATAATAATGAGACTTTACCATTTCACAAAAGATCTTTACATGTGTCATCTCCATATTGCAGAGCAGCCCTGAAAGACAGGAACCTCCCACATCATCATTTTATAGATGTGAACTGCAGCTCAGGCACAATTAAGTGACTTGCCCAAAGCCACACAGCCAGTAAAGGACAAGGCCAGGACTTGAATGTGGATCTTCCAATTCTAAATCCATTATAATCTGCTCTAAAGGACTGTCAAATGTGATGTTTCACTGAGGAATGATGACTTTGAATAGCACCATTTTATGGTAGAAGGCAAACTATCTTTCTGCCTTGAATACAATAGTTTCACATTAACTGAGGCCAACTGTGGTCCGAAAACAGATGAGTACAGTACAATAAGATATTCTGAAAGAAAGAGAGAGACATTTGTATAATGTTTTTTTTTTTTTTTTGAGACAGGGTCTTGCTCTGTTGCCCGCGGTGGAGTGCAGTGGCACAAACATGGTTCACTGCAGTCTCAACCCCCTGGGTTTAAGCAATCCTTCTGCCTCAGCCCCTGAGTAACTAGGACCACAGGCATGCGCCACCATGACTGGCTAAGTGTTTTATTTTTTGTAGAGATGGAGTTTTGCCAAATTGCCCAGGCTCCTGGGCTCAAGGGATCCTCCCGCCTCTGCCTCCCAAAGTGTTGGGATTCACAGCCAGAAGCCACCATGCCAGCCTTACATAACTTTTATTACAGTATGTTGTTGCAATGTTTAAATTTTACTATGAGTTATTGTTGTTATTCTCTTACTGTGCCTAATTTATATATTAAACTTTATAATTGTTATGTATGTATAGGAAAAACATAGTATGTACAGGGTTTGGTAAAATCTGATTTCAGGCATCTAATGGTGGGCTTGAAAGGTATCCCCCCAGATAAGAAAGGACTACTGTAATGTTCACCTGAATAATTTAGGGGAATGTTTAGAAGCCTTAATTATAGACATTGACTCTCAGGCTATCCCCAGTCTCTAAATGTTTCCTGTGTCGATATACTCAATTTCTGAGGGAGACACATTAAATGTATGTTCCAGAAAACACTTCAGGCAAATATACCCATATTAATACAAAATAGGACTTAACCCCAAACCCACATGGGTTTTCTACCCTGGTGACCTCAACTGGGCTATTTCTTGGCTTCTGGCTGAATAAGGCTTACTATAAAGGCAAACCAAAGACCATGGGCTTGAGTATTGCACTCGAAATTGCAGGCACTTTTGCTGCTAATCTTGCAGGAAATTACAAAATAAAATTAACTGAGGTACAGCTTATACACTACACTACATATGTAGTAAAGCACACAAACCTTAACTGTACAGCTTGATGAATTTTAACATATGTATACCCCGTGTAACCCCTACCGTCAAGATATAGAACATTTCTGGTACCTGCAGGGCATTTTAGAATATCTACAAAAATTAACTTTCCCACTCTAAACTGTCAGTGGGTATGAGGATGGTCTTTGCCTACGGTCTTACCAGGACAAGCAAATAAAAGCACTAATGTTTAAATTTCAGGAAGTCCTTAGCTCTTCAGAGGCAGACCCTATGCTTACAAAGAGGGTGGGTCAGGCGTGAGCTGACCAGCACTGTTTCCGCCTGTCTCTGCAGCATTTCCTCTTTCTGTAGTACTTTAGCTGGTTTTCCTCAGAGCAAACACTCCTTTCCACGTGTGTGAGTCACACTAATCCCATCTTCCTGGTGCCAGGGTTGGATGATGGGAACGAGGCCTAAGCCAATGAGCGTGCTGCATTCCCAGCCCACACTGATAGGCCTAGGGGTAGGCCCAATGTAAAGCAAGAAGAGGTTCGCTGAGACAGCGAGCCAGAATCAGGAAGGGTGGAGCCAACACTCTGAGACAGAAATCAGATCTGCTGACACGCCCGGCCGAGCTCCCTTATGTACCCACGCCTGAAACAAGATCCACCCTTGGACTTGAAGTTACAAGACTCCGTAGATTCTCTTGTGTCAAGCACAAGCAGCTTGAACTTTGTTTTCTGTCACTTGCAGTCAAAATGACCTAGTAAGTTTCTGCGAGGGCTAAGTCATCCCCTGTAAGAGAATGATAGGAATTTTTTCTTCTCTTAAAAGAGAGTGGGCCTAGAAAGGAGGGGAAAAGGAAGAGAGGGAGGCTGGAGCCCGAACTGTGGCAGAAAAGGAACGAAAGATTCGTTTTTTAAGAACAAGGACAAGGATGATGAATATTGTATTCATGTTTTTTACATTTTATGCAAACTACTTTCACCTTTCCCAAACTCCAGCAAAGCTGACTACATATAAAAATGCCTGTGTGAGTGTGTGTGTGTGTGTGTGTGTGTGTGTATGTGAAAGAGAGAGAGAGAGGGAGAGAGAGAAGAGAGGAGAGAGGATGGGGGAGAAGAAGAGGGATGAGGAGGAGAGGAAGGCAGGCTGGCTGGCTGGCCAGGATCAACATTGTATTGAGGTGATAGAGAATAAGGAACACAAGAGGCAATGAAAAGATTATCTCTAAACTCAACAAATTCAGCAAAATAGGAGCTTGAAGCCAGAACTGATCATGGAAATGTAAGCCCTCTGGCAATGCGTAGAATTGTTGAAGAATGAGTTGGACTTCCACAAGTCTTGGTATGGGGGGTTGAGCCTATCTCCTCTAGATCTCAAGAGGCAGGGTGACCCCAATTAACTAGGGCTGACATTATCCCTAAGTCTATTTATTTGGCAATGACATTACTTGCTAGCAAGAGTTTTCTCAGCCACTTCTAACTTTGGGTTGGTTAAACAGGAACCAAAAAGGCAAACAAATAAAAATCTACACAGGAAGTGAAAAACAGATAATAGTAAAATATTTTTCAAAAATGTCTTCAAATAAGGAACCTCAAAATTAACAAACTCTTTCACTTTACTGATTTGCAAGAAATCTGCTTCCCAAAGCCCAAACATACCCAAAGGAAAACAAAATGCATGTATTTTGCTTTGCTTAATGTGGATTTTGTGCATTTTGCCCATGCAAAATTCTAGGCCTCCGTGAACGTAACTCACTCACAGTTCTCTGAAGTTACCAGTTAACCCAAAATTAGACATTTACCACTTAATGGGAAAAACATGTGCTTTCTCTACTCCCATCACTGCACCCTACCTTGGAACTTTTTCCATTCAGTTAACATGTATTAAATTCTAACGGCACTAGATGTTACACAGGGTACAGACAACAAAGTAGGCAAGATCTATGCCCTCAGAAATTACATAAGAAAAAAACACGTATAGATGATCAACACATTCTCCACTGGCTAATTCCAATGTCAAGAAAGCTAAGTATAGGTATGTATAACCCAAGGAAAAGGAGAAGCCAGATATTTAGGTTGGGTTCCCAGGGAAATAAACTCCAGCATGGAGATTAGTATGCAAGTAGTATATTAGAGAGTGTTCCCAGGATCAAAACCTGTGGGAGGGAAGAAGCCAGGACTGGGTAGGAAAAGAAGTAGTGCCTGAGACTGTCTAAATCCAGGCCTGAAGTCAATCTTCAGGGAGCCCTGAAGCTGGCTCAACCTTTCAGAGTTGTTCTGAGTCAGGAAGAGACTTCTAGAGCTTTCAACTCCACATGGACCAATCATGGGACGCTGACTGCCCCAGGAAGGGGTATGACTTTGCTGGGGGAGCTCTGAAGACTGTCTGCTGGCATTCTTCCCAAAAACATCTGGAGGAATAAATCCTTCAGTCTTGAAAAAGAGATCGGGGGGCACAGTGCACAGCATCTACACCACCGGAAATTATTTAAGGTTTTGGAATTCAATTAATCTGGTGATACCCTAACATGTGAACTTCCCATTTCTTTTTGGAGGGTAGGAGTGGCTCTCCTGGGTAGGTTCTCCTTGAGCAGCAATCTGCTTCATACTTAATCACCTTATTAACTTGTCTGATAAAGTTTTCCCAGGGAAGGAAGCATTTTAGCCCAACGATAACCATTAGCATGTTGTTTGGGCTGATAATGAAAACACTAACATTAGAATGAAGTCGTTTGGAGTTGGAGTCACACGGAATGGTTGTGTTTTCACCGGAGTAGAAGTGCTTTGAATATTATTGACTCACTTAGACCTTTGGGTATATAGGGGCACCAGAGAGTTGATAATGCCTGTCAGAGGAAGGCAGCTGAAATGCTGCTCAATCCCAACTATTTGCAACTTGAACGTCTACTATCAGTGAAGACAGAAAGTGAACTTGCTTGTGAAGATACCCTGACTTCAGCGCTGTTAGTTCCATCTAATAGAGCTGTTACCAGATCCAACTCTGCAATGTGCCTTCAAGTATATTATTAATGTTCAGGAATGCAGGGCAGTCAAGTTCGATCTTTCTTTCAACAAAAAGTAAATGACAAAATTATATTCCAAGAACCTGAGGATCCTGTCCTCATGAAGAGTGTTCCCCAAGAATCCCAAAGGAATTTTTTTCTGTGTTGATTGTTATTCATAGCATGGAAGAAAAAAAAATCCAAATTCTTGTTTTTCTTCTTCTCCTAGAACTACCTGCAGCCACTCAAGAAACATGGAAATCACTGTGATATCCACTTATTTTGCAAATATGGGTGGATAGTGCTGCATTTAAGATGATGGGAATGGGCTTTCTGCATTATTACTCAATTAATTAATTTAATGACCCCAACCACATTATAAAGGACAGCACCTTGGCCAGGTGCGGTGGCTTACGCCTGTAATCCCCAGACTTTGGGAGGCTGAGGCGGGCAGATCATTTGAGGTCAGGAGTTCGAGACCAGCCTAGCCAACATGGCGAAACCCCATCTCTACTAAAAAAAAAAGACGAAAATTAGCTGGTTGTGGAGAGCGCCTATAATCCCAGCTACTCAGGAGGCTGAGGCAGAAGAATCGCTTGAACCAGGGAGGCGGAAGCAGAGATTGCAGTGAGCCGAGATCGCACCACTGCACTCCAGCCTGGGC